CTTCTCCTTATGAAAGGTTCGAAGTAAATAATTAAAATAAAGCGTTGGCGAACGCGCGTGCAAGAGGCCACTTGTTTTCGGCATTTGCTTTAGGAAAGTTACCGGTGCAGAAGCCAGCACGTACAGCGCGTGTAAATAAACTTGCAGCATGCTCCTTTGTGCTTGGATAATTTAGCGAAAGGTCAATCGCATTATAAACATGCGTCTGCTTTCCTGCAGAGCATTCGAAAAGTCAATCACGGCAATGTACGAAGGAAGCTCGGTGAATAACGAGGTCGATACTATATGTTTAAACTTAAAGTTGAAGTCTGCGATGTGCACGTTTCACATGCCCACGCCATGTTGCAGTGTCACATCACAAACTTTCTTTCTAGGCTCGAACACATCTTCGGCCTTATACGACGAGCTCCCTTCGTAGAGATATGTTTGACTCTCCAAGTGCTCTGAAAGGAAGTAGACGAGCGGCCAATTCTTATACTGCGAGAGCCGTGATTTTTGGGCTATAGAGTCACTGAAAGCACATTAGACACAGAGCAGGGACAACGCTCACCACCCCGTTAACGAGCCCCGTGTATGCAGACTGTAGCATTCTCCAGAAGCTAATATCCATAACGCAAACTGAAGAACTGAAAAATGTGCCGATGCAAAACTCTTTACGACGCAAAAAAAGGAGAAAGAAGGCCAACGTGCACGTTGCCTTCAGCTGCAGTCCCACTGCCCGTATATTATGCAAAAAAACACGGTCTGCAGGCGTGATTACATCTGTTCTGCGGACACACCGCAATCACGTTCCAAGCATGTTTTCTTCATCGTACCGTATTGGATGTCTAAAAACGGTTCTCTAAAGACTCCCTATAGTCTTTGTACGGTCAATGTGACAAGGAAGAAACACGCCTCGGACAGTGTTTGCTGGCTGTTTCTGTGTATTAGCAGTGTCACCGCGGCTTTATATGCATGCAGCGAGCAACGAAGCAATCAGAACCGCATCTGTAGAGAGAGCCATTGGACTAGTAAGTGGGAAGATCGAGCGTGACGAACCTCCGCTTAATGGGCGCTATGTGTGCAAACAATGCCTCTCCGAAGAGTCACTTGTGTACGCACCGCCCCCGAAAGGTATTTCCACGATCGTTGTTTTCTCGGGTATCGGTCGCTATCCTTGAAGCACAATGTGCCCATTGCCCCTTCGGCAATGCGTTATCGACGGTGATTCCGATGCCCGGTTGCAATGGACTCTTCGGGGCACTTCATTTCGCAAATCAGAATGCGGAAGGCTTGGGCGGTTGAATTGACCTTCTTTAATATATGCTATTCCGGGTTGTTTACTCAAAAGGTTGCAATTACTTTTTTCTTACACCAGTGTTTTCGCGATGTAAGGCTTGTCGTCTGCATCGCCTCAGCCTAATTAAATCGATGCACTGGACCCTGTGTGTTCCTTCTTCCCTCCAAGAAAAAGTAAAGCGTAAACAAAGCGCGCAGCAAGGGTAGCATCCTTCACCGAGTTCTTTTCAATTTTTTTATTGCCGTTTCCATTGTATTTTTTTTTTTTTGTCTTTGTGTTTTTTTCAGGCATTAGAGACAGCCCAGCCCGTCTCTGATGCCTGAAAAAAAAAAGGGAAGGAATCTTAAGGTGAACGCTGATTGCGTAATTAAACTCTGCTCAGGCTTAATTAACATGAACGCCTTCATTTGTAGCGAAAGCGTTTGGTAAGTTAGAGGCAGAGAAATAATGACCGGCGAGTTGTTTAGGCTGTCTTACTTTCCGTCTTTCTTTTTTCTCTTGTAATGGGGCTGAGGTTGGAGCTGAGGTACTGTACGATGCAATCCGTCGCACCGACAATCCGTATACTGCTGACGTACCGAAAATTTCGACACTGAGTAACAATTACGCCACACGTCTGATCCTTCCAAACAGTATATGTGTATGAATTATGATGAAAACTTTTAGTTTAGAGTATCATCAAAAATCGCTGTAAAGGATTGTCGCGTGATTTAGTTTAGCGAACAAATGCTTATCCGGCATACAAATTAATCGGGTTCAGAATCCTGAAATACGTTTCTATCGAGACATGTTTCATGTTAAAGCAAGAAAAAATAATATAGTATTTTGTTTAACCATTCTACCACATGTGACGTTTCAGTTAAGAGCACTGTTGCCAATCTAGCTGTTTTGCTTCTAAATTTGGCGGCTTTCAGAGTTGTCTAGCGGAGACTTGGTCGTTTTGCAGGCGGCGAAATTAGTAGCGGTTTTCAAGTTATGTTAGCTTTTCTTTTTGGAGGTCTAAAATGTTCCCCAGTTTACATTTCTGATTTTTTAGTGTTGTGTCGTTTACCTGCAGTCTCGGGTTTTTTTCAACCATGTGCAATGTACATCAGCTCGTTTGCGCCCTTACATTTTGTGTATAAATACCTTAATCCGTGCAGTTACAGTCATGTGGTCGCCATCTTTGCTACCTACCAGCAACATTGTTGTCGATGAGAGTAGTAACAAATGCGACGGTGTTCCGATATTACAGTGGCCGTCCTCGAAGCACGCTTTCAACTGATTTGTGCGTGAATGTACGAAGGCGTTTTCCAAGTCTGCCGTATGAAATGAAACCATGCACAAAAATGCCTCAAACATGGGTGCTATACGATTCTAAGCTTCGAGACTGGTTACTCTAAGTTCTAAGCGACATTAGACGAGTATGATACCCTGGAATATATAACTCTTTGCAAATCAACTAATTTGTTCACTGAAGCTTTAAACTGCCCCCACACATTGCACCAGAGATGGGAACAATGAAGGTGTACGTCGGCCGGTATGGCAAAACAAACAGTAAGATTATGCAGTACACACCGCTCTGTTCATGGAAGCAATCTGCGCTGAACAACGTAGCTCTCTGCTTAGGGTTCTTTTATTGATTGTACTGCTGTTAGACAAATTATAAAGCAGTAATACCGTGTGCCTCAAATTTAGCGGCTTTTCAGGATTCCTATAGCGGGTTTTTCAGTTGACAACACAGGTTAAGAGTTTCTCCTTCTAATAGTGAAGAAAGGTAAAAACATAACGCAGGCCAGCTGGTGAATGACATTCATTGTAACCCTGAAACGTATGTTTGATTAGTCATATATTTTTTTATTTCTTTCAAATCAATCATATTGGTGATTGTATAAACCTGTCACACCAAGCTACGATCTTTACCGCACAAAAATTATACAAGCTCGATCATGCTGACAAAGACTGGTAAGCACAGAATATGCGAAAGGCCTCCCAGAGAAGAAGGGCGTGTGAACGGCACCGCCTACCGAAGATTCGCTTTCATTTGTGGCACACGCCGTGAGATGGCGCTGCATGACAGGAAAGACCTGGGAAAGACCGTGAAGTGCGAGGGCTCATTCACTCACCGCGCGAATGTGCTCGTTTTCTCGTGGTACGTACCACTGATCCTGGATACCTCAGTAGGCAAAGCACTTGGCTCACAATCTCAAGGTGGTGGATACACCCTGCCGGTGTACTAAAGTATTTTTGTATGGTGCCCTATAGGTGTAAAGCGATTCAATGTTGTTGTTGTTGTTGTTGTTGTTTACAATTGGCTTTTACAGCCAAACGTTCGAGAACTCCACAAAAATCGGCTGATAAAACACATTCTCTGTTAATATTAGGAACTCTTCGCAGACCGTTTTGGCCCCCCAGAGCATTCTCGGCAATTAAGACGCCGCTAGCCTTGTTTGCAGGGTTTGGTATCTTGTAGCGGATTTCGAAAAGCGTTGCGAGACGGCGACAACCATCTACGAGAACTCCCTCACAACATACGTTTGCGTTATTTGGTGCGCAACGCACATACCCTCCAACAGGGCCGTACCCAGAAAAAAATTTCGGGGGGGGTTTTTTGGAACAACGGCGGCCATTTTGAAACTGTCTATTGTCTTATTTTCGCCTATGAATCATGTGCATCAGTGGCATATAATGGAGAGTTGCAGCAAACCGGAGAACCGGTCCCGATTTGGTACCCGGTAGCCGACCGGCGCCACTGCGCGTGCGCAGAGGTGGAGATTACTGCAAGTGCACCGACCAGGGCCGTACCCAGAAAAAAATTTCGGGGGGGGTCAGAACCCCCTAACCCCCCCCCCTGGTTACGGCCCTGCCCTCCAATTCTAAGTGCTACCTATTTTGTCGTTTCTTCTTAACAATAGCTCTACCAGCATTTGACGTATCTCATATTTCCGTGAGTTAGCGCGGCATTGCCTCATAATAAATCCCTTTAAAAGATCTATCAAACAACATTGGCCATCGCCATGTCTTGGGCACGTACCGTGTGATTGGATCCGAGTCCTAGCCGAACAGTGACGCAGTATTTGTTTTTGATACGAGCTCAGCCGAGTTGACGCCGAGGGCTGTTGTCGCGCTTTGGGCAGACGACGTCACCAAAAAGCACGGCGTCCTTTTTGAATGAGGCAGATCTGTGGGTCCGGCATATAAATTTATTTATTAAATTTTTGCGTCACACTCAAAATAAATTTAACAGAAATATAGGAACATACAATGGCTCCTATCAGTATAGTTATCTCATATTTTATTTTCGGCATGTCCCAACCCCTTGATTAATACACGACGGTTCGAGATTCCCTTAGTAGAAGGTGTAGTATAAACATTTACTTATCAAAATAGTAGCATTAATAAAAAATGCCATACCTTTTGAAACCGTTTAGCAACACTAAAGCACCTTCGTTGCCAGCCACATATATCACTGGAATATACTTGCAAAATTGGAGGGGAACATGAATTAACTTCAATTTCCCTGGGTTGGTGCTTTTTATGGCTACACTTACCAAACCAGGTCAACTATGCTTTATTTAGGCCGGCACTGTTGAGCACCATTAGAACACTTTTAGCGCTTCTCAAAAGCACGGACATCGTCTCAAATACAAAATTGGCGACATCCCCGTCATTTGCATCTCCGTCGACGTCTCCACGCGATCGGAGCTGCTGTTCCTCCACTATTCGACATGTTTCCGCGCAGACAAACCACTGCTCAGCGTGGATCTGGGGCCTCCGTTCCGGAACTCGAGCCTGATCGAAGGCTCGGACCTGTTCCTGGAGTGCAAATCCCGGGCCAACCCTCCCGTCACCGACGTAGGCTGGAGGCGCGACGGCGTCGTCCTCGTACCTTCCGGAGGACCTCGGGAACCTCTGGTCAACGACAACTTCCTGGCCATCCAGAAGCTGAGCCGCCACGACTCCGGAAACTACTCGTGCTTCGCGGGCAACTCGGAAGGTGTCTCCGAGAGCGGCTGGTTCGACCTCCGCGTTCAATGTGAGTGGCCATTCACGACATTTCTGTCGGGTGCCCTCTAGCGGCCCGGACTGTATCACGCTTTCTGGAACGCGTAAAGTGGTCCCCGAGGGGCAAAACCACAGAGTTATTTTAACGTTAGTTGTACGATCAGCTGGCGCTCGTGCGCTGTTGGAAATCGAAGCAGGCGGCAACCACACTCTTAGAAAAAAGGGTACGGATAGTCCTCCCTTACGGGAGGAACGGTCTTGTAACCTATGTTCCTTTAGAAAGGGAGAAACCTTCGTCCCTGAAGCAGGGGAGCAAAGTTCCACCGTCGCTTGCATCTCAATATGGCGGCCCCGAATCGAGAAAATCGAGCCCAATAAGGCTTAACGAGGACGCTACGTCTCTTGTACGGGACGAGAGCAGCAGCAAATAAAAGCGTAACACCAGCTTTCCGCAAACTGTGTTTATTTCCGAAGCCAGACTCCCCCCACAGGTACAGACACCTGCGTTTCAAAAGCAGTTACTCAGTCTTCTCGTCGACAGCACTGCGATGTTAAACGGAGACAACCGATACGTAGTTACTTCGCGCACTTTGCGTCTTACCTTTGGTGTTCCTCGAGTCACAATTCCTTCGTCAACCGCACATCACGGAGAAGGGCAAACTCACTCCGCGAAACCAGAAGTCGCTCTCGAAAGAACGAACTCGAAGCCGCTGTTTATCGCGTAGCGTGATAGAAGGTTAAATCGCTAGCCACCAGATGGCGGGGTCAAGCAGAGTAATTGCAAGTAGCTAGGCTAGGTGGCGCTAGGTACCGCCCAATTCATGTTCTACAAAAAATAATTTGCTTCTCTGGCTTCTCTGAGGCCACCACTGTGCTTGAGGACCCTCTACTATACACACATGACAACCATACACTTATTAGAAGCATCAGGTGAACATACATTAAGCACATGCACTGCACACACAAATATCAATTCAACGGAACACCACACTAACCCGAACACTACACCCGTGCTCTGCGTTTCCGTCTTTTATACTGGTCGTTTTGAACGTGCGGAACTTTTCGGTGACTCCCTAAGCAATAAAAAATATTCCCAGCATGTTGATTTTTTCCCTGCAATGTCATACCTCTGAGAGTATTTTGAATGGCTCAGGGGTTGAATCTCTTATTAAAAAGTAAACGCTCAATCATGCCGTAATTATTTGAAAGCCAATAAATCAAGCCGCTCCAATGCGGTTCGAATTCATGAGTTTGTTTCCCCACACGGCAAGTCGTGGCTTGTATTTCTATTTGTTTTTCTATTTGTGCTGTTCGCGCGAAGCTGCAATTGCCGTTTGAATTAATCTCTGTAGAGGGGGTATTCAGTCAGCTGGAAGTGATGCTTCACGGACTGAGAAATTGATTTTCGATCAACTTGAATGCAGTCAAAGCCGCGACTTGCGGCAGGTGTTAAGTGTACGGAACTACGCCGTGGCGAGCCCGAAAACTTCTAGCGCTCATCCCAGCGCGCCACGGAGGGCAGTTTCTCCAGCAACCGTAGTATAATTAAACAGCAAAATAAAAGGTAGCTTTTTTTTCGATTTTACCTACTATTGTTTTTAATGCCGAAATTCCATACTGTAAATATACGCACTTTACGTCACGCTTTCGTACTGTTCAGTCCTTGCCCCTGAGCGCAATCGCTGTCGGGGACGAGACAATTCCGACAGTCACATTGGCCACTGTACGGTAGGAGCTTCTACTGTTCAGACCAGCGTTCCAACATGACTATCCGCACGTTGATCGATTGCACGTAATCCCTCAAGTGGTATTAAACTTTTTAATGTAAAGCGGAATGTCAACCTGCGACACCCCGCCCCCTCCGATCACAACCCGACCAGCGGCATTAATGCCCAACAGTTTACGATCTCATCTTCTTGTTACACCACTGATACGCGAACACATGGTCACATCGGCGATAATTCCAGTCTTCTGTTCACAACCGAACACTGTCATCACGATGTTGCAGCTATGTTGCTGACACGCACAAACACAAAACCACGTTGAACGCCGGTTGCACTCGGCATCGGAAAACAGAACCGAACTCAGGGGGGAAGGCACCCAGGCAGCCGGCAGCAAAGCCTGCCTGTCTTGGACGCAGTTCCTGCAGTTTCCATAACGTCGAAAACGTCGACACAGTTCCGCGTGCTTTCGCTACTGTAGTCTGTAGTGCTGCAACCTGCAGTGGCTGTAGTTCCGTCGTTCCGTGCCGCGCGAGTCACGCAATCCGGAGACGGCCATCCCCCAGTGTACGTGGCACTGCTGGCACTGCTCCGAACTTCGCTGTTTCTAGCGGCTTCGTTTGCTCGTTTGATAAAATTAGTGATAAAAACGTCAATGCAACCAAAATGTTCTGGACGTTTAAACTAGAAGATGGAATTACAGGCGGCCTTCGCTGCCGCTGAAGCTCAATCAACTCAACAGCTATTTATTAAGCAACGCGCGCGACCTGCTCGAAAAACGAAACCAAAAGACGATGAGTCGGGAGGGCGAAAGCTTTCTCCCGTCTGCCTGGAGAAGGAGAAAAACATTTCGTTCCTCCCCTTTTCTCGTGTCCGCTTGGGGGCGCGTCGGTAGAAGGGAGGAAGGCGCGCCGTTGCTACTTTTTTCCTCCATTTTTTCTTAGAGTGCAGTCCAAAATTTACTTCCGCTAATGCTTTTCTATTGGGAAAAATTGGGCGCATTTCCTCTCTGCGCTGTTGTAAAAGCGAATTTCACAAATTATTTTAACGTAATAAAGAACTTGGAACATTTCCAAGTTCATCTGAATCACTAGATCACCTCTATTATGGTGCCTGGAGCTCGTCTTCGACTGGTGTGTTTAGCGTCCAATGCTGCCCATACATCAAAAGTGGGCCCGAAGCGGCAACAAATGACGTCATGCCGTTGCATGTTGGCGATCCTGACGGTTGGTCGTAGAAATGCTAATGAGAAGCTGCGAGTATAACTCTAAAAAAAAAGCCCGTGCGTCTGTTTTTCCGCACAACGCCCTCGGAGAGCCAATCTCCGCAACTCACGGAGACAGCTCAGCGAATGACGATGCCGAAACATATGTTTAGACCGAAAAGCGCAGTCTGAGTTGTGACAGTAAGCAATGCAAAACGTCACGCTTGCGGCATTGTTTAATGCAATGCCGCAAGCGCGGCCGCGCAAACAGCCCGAAGCTTGACAAGAATATACTGTCGTCAAGCTTCGGGCTGTTTGTTGCTTGGGACCGGGTCGGAGATCTACTAACAAAACTTCATGCGCAGGCCTTGTCTTCTAGCTGGTATTGGTTCCGGGCACCATATCTTTATCACTGACAGAATGAGAACGGCAGGGTGTGTCTTTCGAACGCCCGGCTTCCAGCTCGCTCTCCATGCCTTCTGTCGTCTTTACCTGCGAGCACGCGCTTCAGGAGCACGAGCCACCAAAGTGTTAACGAAGATAGAGCCTAAAGGGAGCCTAAAAAGGTTCCTGAAAAAAAAAAACGAGTTAGAAGTAAATTTTAGCGTACTTTATTCCGTGAATCTGAATAGCACATTCGTTTTCCCCGAAGATGTCTCTACACGCGAGAAAACGCCAAAAACCTCGACCAGTCGTTACGTCATAAGAGTATCTTTCGGCCGCCAAGCGCGTGTCGCTCGTGTGGGCAGCCCTTGCAATGGCAAGCTTGCCAGGTATATTCCCCCGCACTAACACCAGTCGTGACCTCTTTTTTTTTTTTTTTTTTACCTTCATGAAAATAGCAAGAGTGCGCGTGCATAGCTTTGATAGGTGCTGAAGATGCGCGAGAGCCAACGTTACTAGATTACCTAAGTTGTGGAACTCAAGCGGAAGGGGGTACCCCCCCTCACTCACTTCAATCCGCCAAGTGTCGTTCGAAGCGCCATCTAGATTTTCGTTTCATAACTGTGCGTTCCAAAGAGCAGAGATGAAGCGCCATCTAGACGCCGTGCTTCGAAACGTACGAAGCGATCCCGACCCGATTTCACCGTGCCCGATTCCCATAGAATGCATAGAATACGCTGCAGTTACCAAAGCAGCCGTCCGGCGGCGCGTCGAGCGACGCTTGGCCAGAGCCGTTTATTGAGAGAGTTTGGCCATACATTGGTTTGAATAGGCGAGCATCTCGGGGCCAACCACAGGCCTCGAAACAGCCCCTAGCGGTGGTCGTGAGCTCTAGATTTGTGACACGACTAATTTAAGCCGTTTTAGCGTCGCTAGAGTGATAAGGTTTAACTCTCGGTGATTGAAAACTTTGTGCATGTGAGGTGTTAGTCACGCCAATATTCAAGTGTAGAATAAACGAACGTGCGTTCCAAACCAGGGTCGACTTGCTAGAAACAGCGTCTCAGCTGAGATGGGGAAAGAAAGCACTGCCAAAGCCAGCGCACGAGCCGAGCGGGACTCCGCGTCTCAAGACGCTCGCACGCCCCACCCTTTGCACTGTTTTCTTTCAGCCGGTCTCAGGACGCTATTCTAGCAAGCCGGCCAGAGCGAACAAACATCAGCAGTGCAGACAAAGGCATGGGCACGAGCGCGTGGCTTTGGAAAGTGCCTCCTATGCACGAGGTCTCGTACAAACAAAAGCGTTTTGCTGAGCTAGGCTCACGCGCCTGTACCTTTGTCTTCACTGCCGACATTTGTGAGATGGAGTAGAGAGGCCGAGATTGAACGCTTCTATTTCACGCTTTAAATGTTTGCAATATTGTGACGGCGCGGTCTCCTGATTGGTTGACGCGGTGTCACAAATTTAGTTTACGCTCTAAGCGTGGGGGGAATATTCGGCGCTGGCGGCAGCCTTTGCTCCGCCTATTGGCCAAACTCTCCCAATACACGGCTCTGCGCTTGGCGAGTCGTGGTGAGTGAGGGGGGGTACTGTTCGTGCATGCAGCGTCTATGAGCAGTTCCGTAACTGAGTCTAGTAAGGTTGGCGAGAGCGGATATTGTGAGAACTCCTTTTATGACGTAACGCTCCGAAAAGGAGCGGGCGGCTTCAGCGGTACTTTG